GAACAAAGGCTGTTTTCTGAACACCAACAGAGAAGAGGGCACCATTTCTAAATTTCTTAGTGAGCTGCTTTATCTGAGGGTCTTGTGGTGGTGAGAAGTGCCTTCATGTCTCAGCTGACTTATGGTGGTGATCCCATGGGGTTTTCAAGGCAAGAGAAATTCAGAGGTGGTTTGCTATTGCCTGCCTCTGTGTCACAGCTCTGATATTCCTTGGAGATCTCCCATTCAAATGCTGCCAGGGTTGACCCTGCTTAGTTTATGAGGTCTAATAAGACTGGGCTAGCCTGGGCTCTCCAGATCAGGACTATCTGAGGGTCTAACCATATATTATGTTTTTTGCCCATATTTTTCAGATCCATCACGAGAACTTTAGATCAGACTGCCAGCTTGGTGTAGTGGTTAAGAGCGCAGACTCTAATCTGGGAGAACGGGTTTGATTCCCTTCTCCTCCACATGCAGCTGCTGGTGTGACCTTGGGTCAGTCACAAGTTCTTTCAGAGCTGTTCTCTCAAGGGCAGCCCTCGAGAGAGCTCTCTCAGCCCCACCTACCTCATAGGGTGTCTGTTGTGGGGAGGGAAAGGAGATTGTAAGTCACTCTGAGACTCCTTCGGGTAGTGAAGGGTGGGGTATAAATCCAATCTCTTCTTCTCTTTTTCTCTCTTTTTCCCAGTTCTGTGTTTGGAACTCAGTTCCCAGATAACCCTGGGGCCCAATCAGAATGAGAACCATGGTGCATTGGAAGAAGAGGCTGCCTTAACCTCTTCCCCATGCTGTCTTCGTTATGTGAAACAGCTCCTGAGAGTTGTTGTTTGTCCCACTGTCAAGTCCTATATGTAGCCATCAGTATGTGTAAGCTTGCCCAACAGGCAATTAGCGGTTCCCTCTGGCTGTTTCAGATCAGAAAGTAGCACGGGGGCAGGGCACACTTAAGCCCCTTTCTTTCCCCTGTGGTCCTGATCCAAGTCAGTCTCTTGGGAATTCTATTCCGAGTACAGAACTTGCAAGGCATGTCTGACTTCAAATTCTTGTGGTGAGCCTGGAGAGGACATGAGTAAGAGGTAACTTATAGTTAGGGCCTTACATGGGCAGGCACTTGCAAAAGCGTCTCTGAAGATTTCAGTCGGCAGAGGCAGGGGACACAAGGGTGGAAGCAGTCCTTGAAATATGCAAGGACCAGGATATGTGAGGCTTTGGTGGCCAACACCAATGTGGTGCAGTGGTTAAGAGTGTTGGACTAGTACATGGAAGACCCAGGCTCAAATCCCCACTTGTGCCATGGGAGCTCACTGGGTGACCTTGGGCCAGTCATGCTCTCTCAGACTAACCTACCTCACAAGGTTGTTGTGAGGATAAAATGGAGGACAGGAGAATTATGTAAGCTGCTTTGGGTCCCCATTGAGGAGAAATATGGGGTGTAAATGAATTAAACAAACAAACTTGAATTGCACTGAGAAACCAGCTGACAACTAATATCGATGTGCATGAAACTGCCTTATACTGAATCAGACAGCTAGTCTGTCAAAGTATTATTCGCTCTGCCTGGCACACACTGACCAGGATCACAAGTAGAGATCTTTCAAATCACCTATTCCCTGATCTTTTTTTTTTAATTAAAAATTTTTATTCATTTTTAACCAATCCAACAAAGAGAAAAAACAATACAACACAACCACCATTTCAAAAAACTTGAACAGCTACGGTAGTGTATGCATACAATGTAGATATAGTTTCGTCAAATTACTGATACAATTTCAAAGTTTGAAATAATATATACAAAACCCCCATTAAAACTCCTGCAAGGGAGTTGTAAACCACTCTCTCTCACACCATCAACAGGCTGCTATAGGGGAACAACAAGAGTGGTTGTCAGGCAGTCCTGAGCTCTGCCTTTAATAGATGTGTGTGTAGAGAAAAGCTAGAGCCATGTGGATGTTCACTTGCTAAATGGGCAAGCGATGTGGAGAAATTCAAGCATGGGGGGGGGCAGTGTTCACTCTAAGCTGAGTTAGTGTGAGTTAGTTGACAGTTTTTTAGCCTCCGGCTCACACATTTTTGTCTTAACTCAGGAAGGATGGCTCCAGGGCAAACTAATTTAGGCAGCAGCCAAATCGCTCGCTCGCAACTTTAACCTCAGTATGTTGTCGAAGGCTTTCACGGCGGGAGTTCATGAGTTGCTGTAGATTTTCCGGGATGTGTGGCCGTGGTCTTGGCATTGTAGAACCTGACGTTTCGCCAGTAACTGTGACTGGCATCCTCAGAGGTATAAACACAGATAGAACACAGAGAGTACTCCATCTTTCTGTTTATACCTCTGAGAATGCCAGTCATAGCTACTGGCGAAACGTCAGGTTCTACAATGCCAAGACCACGGCCACACATCCCGGAAAATCTACGGCAACTATTTTAACCCCAGTAGTTCACCAAGTAGAATTTTTGCTCACAAGACTCCACAGCTTAGAGGGAGCTCTTCCCCCTCATATGGCGGCCTTCGACTTGAAACCGGGAGAGAGGGAGCGGAGCGAGCTCTACTGGGGACCCCTGTGCTTAATATTTGTGCCCTTTCTTTCGCTTCTTTTGACGGTGGGACCTCCCGGGCGGGTCCCGAGAATCTTGACAGTAGTCATTCATTCTTTCCGGTTGTCTTTTCTCGCTCCTCTCACCGGCAGTGGGCGTTGCAGCCAGGCTGGGGGAGCCATGGAACGAGACGTACGTGGGAGTGTATGGGAAGGGGAAGAATCGTGCGCGGGGTGGTTCAAAAAGGGTCGCCTGCCACGTTTTCTGTTCGGGAGTACCAGGCCCCCCGCGTGCTTTTTGGGAGACAAGCGCATTGGCAACACTTAGCTTCAGTGGGGGGTTAAAAGGGGGAATGGGTCATCTAGGACTTTTACTTTTCCCCGCGTGTTTGCATGCAAGCCAGGCTGAGAAGTTCTTGTTCACTTCAGCCGGCTGTCCTCCTCGAGCCGAAGCTTTCGGCATGCCCTCCCGGCCCCTGCCGCTGTTCCTCCAGCGAAGCGTGCTTGCAACGCGTCCGCTCCCGACTGCCTCTCCCACTGAGAAGCCCTTCTGGAAGAAAGCGCGTTCTCCTCACACGACGTGTTATGACCCTTCAGGGGAGCCGTATGACGTAGATTATCCGACGCTTGTGGCAGGAAGGTGCCTGATTCGTGCCTCGTGGGTCCGTCGCTTGGGCTCTTCCCTCCCTTACCGGGGCTCTTCCG